CTCTCTCTCTCTCTCTCTCTCTCTCTCTCTCTCTCTCTCTCTCTCTCTCTGTGCTTGTCTTTTACCGTCGCCATATTCGATATTTGTCATTGAAGTCTTCTTTCGTGGAGGACATTGAGAAGCAGTCTCCTGATCGCCTGATTGAAGCGAAATGGGTGAGGGCAACGTTAACACTTTGACTTAAACCACCAGTACTTGGCCCAGCTATCGGCCATGGAAAAAAAAATAGAGTAGAAACGTTTCTAGTTGGATGAATTTGGGCGCTCCTGTAGTGTCCCGTACGTTTCCTAAAATCGCAGCTCGTTAACAGGCACGACTTTAGGAAGTGCTGCAGTGGTTTTAGCTTCGAGCCTTCGAGCCTTCGACTGTGGCAGAAACACCCAGTGCTGGATGGGGAGAGCTGAGGCTCGAGCGGAGGCGGCTCGGACTTCAGAGATTGACTATTAATAAAATAATAGTAAATAAACATGAAATTCCAGGCCGTTTGATAGTCAGTTGGGGACGATGAGAAGGGAGGCCCATTGCCCAACTACTGAGTCTACTGCTCGCATTGCTCGCATTGCTCAGTCTTTGCGTTAGTCGGACGCAGGTGCACCTGCTGCGCCAAGTTGCCAACTCATTTCTCACTACCGTTGTTTTGTGTGGCGGGGGGKGGGGGGTAGTGAGCCGGGGGGGTTACACGAGTTTGTGAGACGCTTATGCAGAAGTTATGCTTGCGTGCATACGTCCCCTCTATATAGTCGGACGAGTAGTGGTAAGTGGGCACTGGGTACAGTGGGTAGTGAAAGGCTGAAAAAGAATTTGAGAGAAGAATAGAGTATAGTGTTAGATTACAAAAAAAAAAAGAAAAAAAAAAAGGTTAGTACTTGAAATCGGCAGTTTCCCAAACAGTTGGTGGAACTACTTGTATGTCAAAAATGCGAAAGCCACTACTGTAGGCCCACTACAGTTTGATAAAAAAAAACAAAGGAAAAAAAAAATCGATCCCTTGGGAAGTTGGGACATCACAGCGGTTAGAATCGTAAAGACCGAAGATAGCGCAAAGCTTACTTCATAAATCATTTAGCTAGCTAGCATGTCCTCTTCGGTCTCTTCGCATTCAAGGCTGAAAAAAACTTGGCATGCACAAAGCACAAAACGATCCACCCGTCTTCCCCCGAATAGAACATAGTACGCTAAGTACGGTCATTGTAGCTGTATTTGGGCAATTTTGGGGTAATTTTCAGTCTAGGTGCAGGGATAATGACCGTACGTTCTATTGGGGTGAACTTAGACGGGTATTTTAACGAAGCAGGAAGCTCATAGCTTAATTGATGTGTGGGATTTCCATCATTTCCTGCTGCTGTGTAGTTTTTTTTTTTTTTTTTTTTTTTTTCAGTTGAACAGATGCTGATGGGAACAGATGTGCCGATACCGCTTCTCTCTGTTGCGATAGAACGGAATAGATTGCTTCCTTCTCCTGTTTATTTGAAGGGGGGTGGGTGGGAAGGAGAAGAAAGACTGTTTTTTTGTTGGGGGGGGGAAAGGAGAAGAAAGAAAGAAAAGAATCGAATACATTGCTCGACGTCTCCCCACGTTGAGCGCAAGCCTCAAGCCTCAAGGTGAGATGACTCGGATCAGAATGTCTC